CTAGTTAGATAGATAGCTAGTGAGATAGCTAGCTAGATAGATGGATAATGAACATACTGAGATAGATAGATAGATAGATAGATAGATAGATAGATAGATAGATAAAATAGAAAAAGAAAGAAATATAGATAGATAAATAGATAGATAGACAGATAGAAAAAGAGAGGATAATTGATAAAAGATAGATAGATAGATAGATAGATAGATAGATAGATAGATAGATAGATAGATAGAAAAAGAATGAAAGATAAAAACATAGATAAAGTAATGAAATATAGATGGATAGATAGACAGGAAAAGGGAGAAAGATCGATCAAAGAAATAAATATAGATAGATAGATAGATAGATAGATAGATAGATAGATAGATAGATAGACAGACAGAAAAAGAGAGAATGATAGATAAAATAAAGATAGATAGATAGATAGATAGATAGATAGAAGTAAGGAAGAATGAAAGAAAGAAAGATAGATAGATAGATAGATAGATAGATAGATAGATAGATAGAAAAAAGAATGAAAGATAGAAGGATAGAAGAATGAAAGAAAGGATAGATAAATTAATGATAGATAGATAGATAGATAGATAGATAGATAGAGAAAGAGCGATCAAAGATAGATAGATAGATAGATAGACAGAAAAAAGAGAATGATAGATAAAAGAAATAAATACATATAGATAGATAGATAGATAGAAGAAAGAAAGAAAGAAATATAGATAGACAGACAGAAAAAGAAAGATAGATAAATGAAAAATACACACACACACACACACACACACACACATATATATATATATATATATATATATATAGATAGATAGATAGATAGATAGATAGATAGATAGATAGATAGATAGATAGATAAGAAGAAAGAAAGAAAGAAAGAAAGACGAAAAGAATGAAAGAAAATTGAAAGAAAGAATGATACGGAAAACGTGACAGAAATAATTAGCTGTTAATATGATAAGCGACGAAAGAAAAAAAGAATATGAAAAAGTGACCGACAGACAGACAGACCAAAAGAAAGAAAGAAAGACAGAAAGAAAGAATATGAAAAAGTGACAGACAGACAGACCAAAAGAAAGAAAGAAAGACAGACAGAAAGAAAGAATATGAAACAAATAATAGGGAGAAAGAAAGAAAGAAAATGAAACAAGTGACAAAGCAAAAGAAGGAATGAAAGAAAGAAGAGAAAAAAGAGAATTATATGAAATAAGGGCCAGAAATAATTACATCGTGGTATAACAGTAAAAATGGAGAAAGAAAGAAAAAAGAAAAATGATAGAAAGAAAAAGGTGATATGTGAGAGAAAGATTGACATGATGAACTGATGTGTGATCAACAGTGAAAGAAAGCAAGAAAGAAAAAAGAAAGAAAGAAAGGAAAAAAAGAAAGAAAGAAAGAAAGGAAAAAAGAAAGAAAGAAAGAAAGGAAAGATATGAAACAAGTGTCAGACAGACATATAGAAGCATGCAAAAATGAAAGAAATATATGAAAAATGTGACAGACATAAAGAAGGAAAGAAAGAAGGAAAAGAAAGAAAGAAAAATATGAAGCAATCGCAGAAAGAAAACAAGCAAGAAAGAAAAGATATCAAACACATGACAGAGAAAAAGAAAGAAATCAAAGAGGAAAAAAAAGAAAGAAAAAAAGAAAGAAAACAAAAATTGAATAGAATCTGACACCTGACCATAAAAGAAAGTTGGTAAAAATGGCCTTGACAACGAACAGAATTAATAAAAGAAAAAACTGCAAACAGTGAATGAAAGCCAGAAAAAAAACATTAAAAAATTGTTGGACTTGAATCAAAGAGTAGCTTTTTAAATTGACGTGCAGATTTATTTTTCAAACTAGGAATCAAAGGATGTAATTGATAATTGAAATGAATCTTTTAATTAAAAGTTCAAATCAGAATTTCAATTTATTCGAAATTTAACCCGAATTTACGTTTAACATTTTTTTTAAAAATTCTATTCGATTCAGCCCCCCACCCCCAAAGTTTAAAGCTGTCACTCATTCACTCGCTTTCTTTTTCTATATATTTATTCGCTATCTCCCTCCATTACTTTCTCTGTCTCTCTCCTAACGTGTCTCTTCATGGCGTCGAAACCTTGCCCAAATTAAAGGTGATATTTGTCCCTCGGGAAATATATTCATAATTACAATTGGCAATTTGTTCCTTAGAAGTTGATCATCAAAACGCATTGGAAATTAAAAAAAAAAAAAAAAGATAAAATTATGACTAAATGAAAATTCATGACAGATTAAATATAAATTTCGTCAAGAACATGCTGAGCAAAATTTACGGAAGTCTTTCTCATTTCTTCAGCAAATTGATGATCACAGCTCTCTACAACTTCCTAGCCACTTCTCTAAAGAAAATTTGGAAGCTATCATTTTTTTATATAGTCATACAACCTTATGCAAATTAATTGAAACAAAACGAATAATTCTGTTATTATTTACTTTTTCATTCGTATTTTCCCAATAAAACATGACTCAGTGGACATGTTAGTACTTTGTATGTCCATTCCACGAAGACTTTCATTGCAAATTGACCACAGATTCTGATTGGATATAAATCAGGAGAGTTTCCGGGACAGTCTATCTATGTAAGCCTGTTCATATCTATCTATCTATCTATCTATCTATCTATCTATCTATCTATCTAAAATAGATTCATATTACTGCACACCACTGCAAATTACGTAATCTGAGAAAAAAAAGAAAGAAATTGATTACACCCTGTAACTTCAGTGGCTCTAAAGAAAGGAATGAAAACTAAAGCAGTTGTTTCAATTAATTTGCACAACGGTGTATCTGTCTATCTCAGTTTATTCATTTCTATCTATCTATCTATCTATCTATCTATCTATCTTAGTCTGCTCCTATCTATCTATCTATCTATCTATCTATCTATCTATCTTGGTCTGTTCATATCTATCTATCTATCTATCTATCTATCTATCTATCTATCTATCTATCTTAGTCTGCTCCCATCTATCTATCTATCTATCCATCTATCTATCTTGGTCTGTTCATATTCATCTATCTATCTATCTATCCATCTATCTATCTATCTCCATCTATCTATCTATCTTAGTCTGCTCTATCTATCTCTATCTATCATATCTATCTTGGTCTGTTCATATCTATCTATCTATCTATCTATCTATCTATCATTATCTTAGTCCATCCTATCTATCTATCTATCTATTCATCTATCTATCTATCTATCTATCTATTCATCTATCTATCTATCTTGGTCTGTTCATATCTATCTATCTATCTATCTATCTATCTATCTATCTATCTATCTATCTATCTATCTATCTTAGTCTGCTCCTATCTATCTATCTATCTATCTATCTATCTATCTATCTATCTATCTATCTATCTATCTTGGTCTGTTCATATCTATCTATCTATCTATCTATCTATCTATCTATCTATCTATCTATCTATCTATCTATCTATCTACACCCTTGTGCAGATTAATTGAAGCAAAACGAATAATTACGTTATTATTTACATTTTCTTCGAATTGTTCCAATGAAACATGACCCAGTGGACATTCCAGTACTTCGTATGTCCATTCCACTAAACCGTTCCTTGCAGATTGACAACAAGTTCTCGATTTGATTTAAATCAGGAGTCAATCGATAGTACTTTGATTTTCTCACTGGTAAGGCTTGTCAGTGTGTTCGTGAAGCGTTGTAATTTTTGTACGCCGCCTTGGAGTAACGCCCATCACAGACAATGGTCATAGGACAACTAAACGACAGTCGTGACAATAGTGTCTGGGCGTGATAAAAATCGAATGCATTCACGGATGACGCAATATTTTTCAAGGCTAAACAAATTTCATCATACACCCCAAAAATAGATTCATATTACTGCACACCACTGCAAATCACTTAGTCTGAAGAAAAAAATAAAAATCGATCCTAGCCTGTCACTCCAGTGGTTCTAACTGACTGCATGATGAAAGAAAGGAAACTGAAGCGGTTGTTTCAATGAATTAGCACACGTTTGTTTGTTTGTATGTATGTATGTATCTATCTATCTATCTATCTATCTATCTATCTATCTATCTATCGAAAATAGATTCTTATTACTACGCACCACTACGCAAATGACCTAATCTTAGGAAAAAATAGAAATCGATTACACCCTATCACTCCAGTGGGTCTAAAACTTTTTTCATTTTTATTGTTATTATCACAAAGTTTCAGGCGCTGTCCCCTCCGGCCTTCTTCAGTAATATGGCAATCCGGGAAACCTTCAATAAACGTAATAAAGTTAACTAATAAGTTTTAAGGAAATTTTGACGAAGCGGTGAAGTCATAACTTTCCCAAGGGTATTTGCGCTTCAGTGAATTTAAAGAGAAACAACGGGAATTGGAACTCAGCTCTCCGATTATTAATTCCAAGCCATTATCCATTACACCACCCGCACATCCAAGTTGGCATCTCCTGGTATTGTTAAACTGTCACTAGATACTGACAAAGCGTGACGTTGCTTAACTTCGAGGATCATACCAGAAGCAGACATCAGAGCAGAAAAAGAGACTTGAGGCAACAGAAAAGTGGTTCTACAGAAGGATGTTGGGAATGCCATGGACTGGGCATGTGAACAATGACGAAGCTTTAGAGAAAATGGAAACAAAAAGGACACTTACACTTAACGTCTGAAGGAGTTAGTTGAAAATTCTTGGACACATAATTGAGGAAAGACGGCTGTGAAATTTTGACACAGACAGGACGTATTAAAGTCTAGAGGGACAGAGGAAAAAATCGCGTAACTTGCGTAAATATTTGGTAGAACAGATTAGCAGAGACTGCGAAATTTAATAAGTGTAACAATGGACAGGACTTTGTGGAGAGCCATGATCGTCCACGTTCTAAAGAAAGAAGGCACGTCGAAAAAAAACAGCTTTCGTAAATGGACGACAGAACAAAGACGAGATAAGGTCGCAAAATGATGAAATTTTCTAAGAGCAGCAAAAGACAGGAAGTTGTGGAGAGCCGTAATCACCCGCGTTCTAAAAGACACGGCACACTGAAAAAACGGCTTTTGTAAATGGACGAGAGAACAAAGACGAGGTGAGGCTGCGAAATGATGAAATTTTCAAAAGACAGGAAGTTGTGGAGAGCCGTAATCACCCACGTTCTAAAGAGACACAGCACATATATGAAAAAACATCTTATGGAAATAGACAACAAAAGGAAGATGAAGAGAGATTGCGAAATGATGAAATTTTCTAAGATCAACAAGACAGGAAATTGTGGAGAGCTGTAATCACCCACGTTCTAAAGAGACACGGCACGTATATGAAAAAAACAGATTACGTAAATGAACGACTAAAGAAAGATGAAGGGAGATTGCAAAATGATGAAATTTACTAAGAGCAACAAAGGACTGGAAGCTGTGGAGAGCCATGATCGCCCACGTTCTGAAGAGACACGACCCGCAGAAAACTGACTCCCCGCCCCTCTAAAAAGGTGGCAAGCGTAATTTTCGGCAACCGTCTAAGATTAAAAATAGAGAGTTTACCAGTGATTCTTGATAAAACCAAACGAAGAATCTGCAAAGTTATCCGTCCTGATCTGGCATCCCTGATTCAGACATTTCGTAATGTAGCTTCCCTTTACTTTTCCTATAAATACTTTTCAAGGTAATTGTGCTGCTGGGCTTTGCTCTATGCTACCAAGATTTAATCAATTTAAGCGCGGTACTAGATTGGCAGCTAGGTCTCATCATTTTACAGTTGAATTGGCTAGATGTAACCGTAAGTTCTATGCTAACTATTTCTTCTATCTAACTTCCCGCTTGTGGAACTCTCTTCCGGCTTCCTGCTTTCAAGGCAAAATTTGACCGTTATCGGTCTTCTTGATTCCTCTTCTATTATTGTCTCAGTGTATAATAATGATTTTTTTTTTATTCGTTCACACTCAGTAACCACTTGTATCTTAGTAGCTTCATTAATTTTCTTGGTTTGAAACGTTAAAAAAGACAAAACTACTTTAGGTTGTTCTCAATAGAATTTTCAGGAAGAATTTTGATATGTCCCGGAAAGGGATATATCTGTTCGAAGTAGCAAAGTGGTTTTGGGCTACTGTAACCTGGTAGGAAAATCTAGCAGGTAACCGTAGTGGACTGGTCCTCGTCGTAGTGGTAGACAATAGGCGTAGGCAATAGGCGAAGACAATAGGCGTAGCCCCTTTACCTCCACATCAGTCTGTATTTATAGCTGACACCAGCCAATCATATTACTGTGAGGGGGAACCCAGGTGTATGTATATTGATTACATCAAATTTAAATGTATGATTTTTATGCTTTTTTATTCTTACCTGTAATATGATATGCGTTACCTGTCTATATAAGTCTGGCTTTCTCTCTCTTTTTTTTCTTTAATTATTTATTCATGATCACGTAATAATTATTTGCTGTATATGGTTCTCCATATTTTTATATATTCCTTCATTTATTTACATTATTCGGATTGTTATCATCATCTTCATTGCCATATACACGTTTCGGCCGTTGCACGCTCCGACCTTCTTCAGGTAATTGGAATTTCGAACCGAACCCTTTATTTCGTTTACAGGTATAGATTATTATAAATCCACGTGCCATGCCTCTTCCGGATGTCTCAGCTATTTTCTTTTTAACTCAACTCTCCAAGTCTCCACTCTTGTGGCCTGATAATGAACTCATAACTCTTTCGGTCTAATCAGTTGATTTAACCAACATCTTTATCCACTGGGCCACATGTCCTTGAGAAGTGTACAACGACTGAAACGTTGTGAATATGACAATGAAGATGGGGATAGTAATCCGAATAATGTAAATAATGAAAATAATCACAATACCTCATGTCAGAGATACAAAGTGATATTACTTTATTTCTTTGATTGTCACGTGTCAAGTTATCGTGCCATCCATTGTGTCACTGGGATGAAATCATTCTGCCATCTTTTTTTTCTTTCTTTATACTCTTTGCTATTTGTTTCTTTCACGTATTTATATATTTATATATTCCATCAATTAATTATGTGTAATGTCCTTTATGTCACATTTTATATAATTCCCTTCGTTCTTTTTTCCTTTCCTTCTTTCTTTCTTTCTTTCTTTCTTCCTTTCTTTCATTCTTTCTTTCTTTCTTTTTACTGTGCGGCGATCACGTGGTAGGGTACAGTGTTATTTACGATTTTTTTAAAATGCTTCTTCCTTTCGTATCTTTCTTTCTTCCTATAATTCATTCATATATTTCTTGGTTCCATTTTAACTCTAATGTGTCTGCTGTATTTCTTCATAGTTTTTATTTCTTCTTATCGTTCTTTCTTTCTTTCTTTCTTTTTTTTTCTTTCTTTATATCTTTCGTTCTTTCGTTATTTCTTTCTTCATCCTTTCTTTCTCTGTTTCGTTCTTTTTTTTCTTTCGTTCTTTCTTTATTTATTTCTTCCGTCCTTTCAATCTTTATTCTTACTTTTT